ATATTTTTTTTTTTTTTTTAATATTAATTACATTTTGATGTTTTAAATTTATACGCGTATCTCATATTTCTATAATTCTTGAATCTTGCGATCAGAAAATTTAATAAGGATTAAAAATTTAGCGCAAACTAAATTACAGTTTTTCGCGCGATTAAAGCAGAAGCAAAAAGAAAAATTTTCCGCGAATTATACGGTGTTTACTGAAAAGATGATGGAAATAACACGCGCTGGATATGCCAATATATTTAGTTACTTCACACCGAGAGTTCTGACGAGTAAACAGGTGTCGACGAGGCGCAACGAATTTATGGCGAAACATCGCGCTATCCACTAAATGACCTTGTTAACAAACAACAACGATTAACCAACAGAAAGTTTCTTCGAGCCGTCTACATCGCGGCTACCGTCGTTGATATAATTATCGCTAACTACGCTCCTAATGTGCTTGTATTATCAAATCGCTGTCAAAAGACAATTAACTTACGCAATAATAATAATAATAATATAGACTCAAGGTACTAAAAATATTGGATGAGGAAACTGGCAAATGAGTACGGTTTGAACCACTACCGGATGCACACGTGACGATTATCTACACTGTGTAAAAAATTTTCTAAAAATTCAGACAAAAGTGTGCCTGAATTTTTTTAGATCTAGGTGTCTGAAAGAAAGTTTTTTTTTTTTTTTTTTTACAGTGTAACTTGCACAGATTCCACTCTCGTTTTGGTGAGTCGTCACTTCAATGTCACTTATCACTTATCGATTTCAATTTTGAGTTTCAATTGTAACAAGTAATATTGATCATGTTAGAGTTTGAATATGAATTTAATTTTTATATATCGTTATTTATGGTGAAGATTGTCAGTTTCTTCATCGAGTAACTTGGACAAATTTGATCTGAAAATTTTGTTATTCTCTTCTGCGTTATCATAATTAATATCGGAGCACGTCAGGTGAATATATCGGAGCAGTTTAGATTTATATGGTTCTTGGCGTGATTAAAAGCTACTTTTATAAATGATTTATAGTTTGCGGCGATATATCCAGGACAGAATATTTATAAAGTTCTATTTACAAGTTTATGCGTTGCATAATACAGACGAAACCCAGAAAATTGAAGAAATAGGACACACATGTACAAAATATACACACGCGCATGAAATTATAGATAGATTTCTGTTTTGAATTTTGACGCGAATCACAGGTTGTCTAAAATCAGCTTCAAACGATCTTTAATTCCCGATAGAATTCTATTTATAATTTCAATATGTGTGTCATGTAACGTAGAAAATTCATCAAGGCAGCAAGATTAACACACACATACAAAATTGATAGAAATATTATATAGGACACATATATTAAAAATATGCAACGCGTAAAATTGTAAACACGTGTGAAATTGTAAACATCTTGAATTTTTTTACGAATTATAAATTGCTTAAAAAAAGGAACTTTAATGCGGATCCAACTTTTTTATCCGAGGCAAGCGAAATTTTTCACGGATTTCCGCAGCAGGTTCCTTTTTCCTGGCGTTGATTATCGCGAATGAAACCGAATCGGCCGGATTCAGGATGCCAATGTCCGGTGTCCGCGACCGGAAGTCAATACAACGACATGGATACGACGAGTTATCGAGTTACGGTCAGCATACGTTATATCACAGAGGCTTGAGGAAAGATCGTTGGATTGAAAAAAATCATCTCGGTAGTTCCTTTCATTTCTCTCTCTCTCTCTCTCTGACTCTATTTCCATCCTCATTTGACATTGCATGCAATATTAAATGTCAAAATAATTAGGTGTGATTATTTTTTATTATGCAATCAATCAGAAATTCAATTCATATATAAAAATTCATAAAATCATCGAGTTTTAATGAAAAAAGGATGAGATTATAATTAAATAAATTTTAAAAGCATCGAAGCAAAAAAAACAAATTTATAAAATTCTGAAAAAATTTATCGATATATTTTTTTTCCATTTTTTTCTCAAACTTAGATGTCATGTTCTTTTTAAATTATATATCCATCATATCTCGTTGGCATAAAATCGTCTATTATCGCGTTTGGATCCGTACCGCCTATAATCTTCATTTGTTTTACGCGGTTTTCTTTTTCTCTCCAAGTAGGTGAGAAATTATCATCAATCATCATGTATACAACTAACCTTGCTTGTTCGTGCATCGTAATTCTGCCAAGAAAGTCGCTGTCACATTCTTATCTACAGATCTCTACGTGTGCTCGTGAACTTTCGCTTCCTCGTTAATCACATTTTGTTCACAGTCTGAAGTAATGATTCTGATTATAGATATAACCGATTTTTGCGCTAATTTTCATAGAGAGATTGATATGCGTGCAATATTTTTGAATGATAGCAATCAAAAAAAAAAGAAAAGTGCTACAAATTTCTTGTATAAAAATGACGTAACACTCAAAAATAATTAAAAAAAATAAAATAAATTTGAAATTTTAAGACAGGATATATTGCATCGATCGATCTTATGAAATAATTGCGGCACAATGTAAGTTATTTAAAATCATTGCATCAAAAATTTATTTTTTGCTGCTTTTGCAAGCTAAATAATTTAGTCCTTTAAATAACTACTCTCTCTTCATTTTTATGTCTTAATATATATTTATCTTCACATAAATATACTTTTTAAGAAATTAGGAAAGCTTTATGTTTAAAAAATCTTTGAATTATGAATCGCGCGTTGTAACATGACATAATATAATTAGGCAAGTTTCTTATCATGAATAAAATGCGGTCATTCTCGGTACGCAAACTCATTCACTTTTCTCGTATCCGCTTCACGTGTGGTTAAATGTTAACACGTAATTTTAATGATGCGAAGTACAGTAAAAAAGGCGGAAGAGATATTGAATTAAAGATGGAATTAATGGCTCGGTTTAATTAGAGTGAGTGAAACATACACACATCCATGCACACACGCACACCTCACCCATATTATTACATTATAAAATCTTTACTTATACTTACAATTAGAGATTATTATTTTAATATTCTTTAATACATATATCGTTTAAAAATCTTTTTTTTTTATTTATTTATATTTTAATTATGTAATAAACGAAAAATAACGTTAAATTATATATCATTGCTAAAATATAGGTCTTTGAATAATCAGTCTCGCTTTTGTTCTGAGGCATACGCAGTTTTTTTGGTGACAAGACGTATGTCCTAAAAAATTTGGAACGAACAAGCAACGCGCAAAAACGGAAATCCGTGACGAAAACGCTATACCGTATATACAATACTTAATTCGTTACGAAGAATTAATCGATTTCCGAAATTCCGTCCCACGCTTACGTACTATGTACATCGATAATCCGTTCCGCAAAGTTCCGCAAATAGGGAAACGTGATTAATCGAGATTCGCTCGGACATGCTTTTTTTTTTTTCTGAATCCGCAGACGAGACATGCTCTCGTCGACGTGATTTCCCGTACGAAAATTCAATGGGATTTTCGAGGGTTTATCCGAAAGCGGAATAAAACAAGAAAGGGCGAAATCAGGCGTGAATATAATATTTAAGAAGGTTCTTTTGATCTTTTTATCCTTAATCTCGCCCTGTCAACAGAGAGCTGTCAGTAATAATCAGCCTTTATTTGCAACGATCATCCCCATGTATATTTGGTTGTATATAGATGGACTTATAAACGCAACTGATAGTGTATTTTACTTTCTCCTACATTATTACAGGTTTATTTAGCAAAAATTTTTTCAGGATAAAATTATTGGAAATCATAATCTTTATTTTTTTTCCTTCAATTTTTGTAAATTCTAATCCCAGGCTCCCAAATTTAATAATACGTGCATCCTCGGACAAGATAAGTATTTGACATAACGCTCTCGCGGGTTCGCCAACCATGAAAATCAACCCCGGCCAGAATCTCTTTCCCCCTTCCTCGCGTATCGATCCCGGCTCGCGTATCAATCTCTATCCCCTTTTATCTCTATCTCTCTCTCTCTCTCTCCCCCTCTCATCCCTCGGAACGCACACGAATTAACGTGCCCTCGTTCTGTTCTCGCATTGCAGGTACAAAGCGAATCGTTGCGTGAGCGGGGGTGGTAGCCGCGGAAACGGGGCGACTGGCGGTACCGGAGGCGGTTCAGGTACTGCAGGAGGCCGCGGCGGCGGCGGGGGAGGTGGTAGCCCCGGTAGGGGCGCCGGCGTCGGAGGAGGAGGAGGAGGAGGAGGAGGAGGCGGCGGGGGAGGAATAGACGGTAGCGTGGTGCCTGCTGCACCACCGACTACCGGCCATCACCACCACCACCATCACCATCATCATCACCTCACGACCACGACTACCACGACTACCACCACCACCACCACCTGCGGCAACAGACACCACAGGCACAAACTGCCTGCCAGCAAGCAGTGCACGGAACACCGTCACCATCCCCATCATCACCGGCATCACCCACACCACCGCTCCCACCACCGGGGCATGAACATGGGTCAAAAGATTTCAGGTCAGACTCTACGAAAGTCACAAGCTACACTCGGTCGGATATGATGATTGTTGCACACATTTCGGCAATTTGATGAAGGATAATGAATGATTTTTTTTTCTTGTTAGATGGTAGAATTGATCATATTTTCATTTATTAATTTTTTTTCGGTATATAAATTACCACGGTTAATTTTTTAAATTATTGTTTATGGAAAGTAATCGAGAAAATTTTTATTTTAATATTAAATTGTAAAATTTTTGTTTTAATGTTAAAGAAAAAATTTTTTAAAACTCTGAAAAAAGAGAAAAACATAAAAATAAGAGAAAATCTAAAAGAGAAAATAAATTATTTTTCATTAAGGGAATTATTAGATGTAGAGATTAAATTAGAATCTGAACACTATTCGACTTTTTACTGGCTGAGTTTTTTTTGTTTTATTAAAATGGCGGAATCAATTTTCAAAAACATTGAAAATTTACATATAGAGTGCACTTTCTCTAATCACGATTTTTTATTAAAATCAGAACAGTATCTAGGCTTTACTTTGATCTCTATATTAAACGAATAAGCATGAAAAAGCGTATTAATTATTAATGTTTTTTATCTTTTTAAATAATTTTATATAAATTTTTTATGAATTTACTTTTTATAAAATTATTAATTAAATTATGCTTTTCCACTGATATTTGTTCATTTGATCTGGAGGCGATTTTATGCACAATAGCCACCAATCTCGAATTATAATAAATGTTGGAAATAATATGAAGTATATTATTATATTTATGGACTATATTATTACATATAATTTTAGTATAAAACTCAAATGAAAAAAGGCGAAAAAATAAGAACGAAATATCTTTCTCATTTGCTTTAAAGAGAAACGAAAAGTCTAGAAACTGTCAAATTAGAGCCTGAACACCAATCTCTCGACTTCTTACTAATTAACTTATTAAATGTCACTACCTTTTTTATTGCATTGCTAAGTCTGGCTCTCTTACAAGCAGTTACATATCTTATATCTACGGTCATAATTAGTTTGTAAACGCTATACGTATATAAAGTACGCCTCTCTAATATATTTGGATTGCATACGCATTTTTTCTTTGACATTAAATGATCATGTGCCACACTGCGTGTAAATTCCACTCATAAACGGATTGGAACTCGTATGCATGCTTATGTGTGTGCGAAGCTAGAAGGTTCTCCGGATTAACTCACCTCGTGAAGCGTTCATCGAGGGTCAAGGTCCTTGACCGCGCCTCATTTTACCTGCTCAGGTAGAGCTTGGAACAGGTCCTTTACGCGGGATACCTTGCTCCCTCAAGATGGACAAGCCTTTCTCCTATAGCGTGCTTTTCAAAATTTTGTGCTATCTAACACACAATCTCATATTTACATTCCTGTCCAAGATAATGGAAAATATTTAATATAACTGGCAGAAGATAACTCTGTTAGCTATGGGAGAGATAACTTGAGAGATAAGAAAATTTACGAAAATAACTTGCGCGATAATATAACATTATTTACATCTCGTGACGTAATTTTTTTTAAAACAAATTATTTTTATAGATAATGAAACATAATAATTAATTATTGATTTATAGGTATATATAATAATTATAAAAAAATAATGTAAGTGTCAAATAAATGTTTCACTTTTTTTATATATGAAAAAGATTGGGAAGAACACGCAGGGGAAGTACCCAGGCTATCGATTAAATAACTTTGCTTTTCATCGTTTCTTTCCAAGATCTAATTTATATTCTGAACGAGACCGCCTTCATCATCGGAACTCATTCGCCACACTAGACGCGACCGGAGTGTTCGTATAGACTTACGATTTACGTATGTGTCGCGTAAACTTGAAGAATTTATTTTTCTTCAACGGTTCCATCCGGTTTCGTAAGAAGCCCGCGCCGGTTGTATGTCGTCATCGATTTATAGACGTGACTTCAAACGGAGTCGTTGATCGTAACTGAATATCGAACATATGGGATAAAATAAATTGTGAAACGAAGTAATTTAAATATACATGTCGGATAATTAAATAAAAGTTTCAAATCCAAAGAAATTAGATACGGAAAATATTTTTTAAAAAATAAAAAAATAAATAAATATATAATATCTGCTGTTTGAGTCTATTAAATGACACACTCATCAAAGATGAAAAAAAAAAAATATATGCAATATTTACAGATACATGGTTTTATCTAAAGGTGCGTAAACAATTGATAAAAAATTCTTTCTCTTCGTTTCATCGTGTGGTCGTTATTCGAATTGTCCATTTTTAATTTTTCATACGTTAAATTAAATACGTTAAATTATACGTCGTCGAGGTTTAGTTCCTTGGCGAAGTAATGACCGTCGTGGCTAATTACTTACTGTGTACAACGATTCTCATTAAGAGACTCACGGGACTCACGCGGACAATTCCCGCTCCAATGATATAATCGTCGCTTCTATCAATCTCTTCGTTTTATTCGTCATTTTCTTTTAACAAGGCACTTTCTCTCCTCCTTTGCCTCTAAAGAGCCTCAGAATTCGAAACTCAGGATCAGACGGCATGGAATTTCCCTTTATTCTCGCAAAGGAATTTCCCTATCTCCGTACGCGGATTTCCTCCCGCTTTTCCGAGAATCTCCCCGAGTTTTCCGAGAAATGGTCGACAACAAATAACGACAAGTATCCGTATTTTACGAGGTGGCTTTTCTTTTCATCGATATCGTAAACCGTGACCAATTCCACGGCTCAGCTGCAACCGTGAAATTTATGATCTGAGACCGCATTGTGCTCAGCACGAATTGAAACAACCCGAAACGCCAAAGGCGACGACGAAAGAGGAGGGCAAGAAAGAGAAAAAAAAAAAAAACGGGAGGAAGGACCTGATGCGGATATGTCGGTCTGCTCGCTCCGAGTCTCGGACGCACTCCGGGGCCGTCGTGAAAGGGCCCCTTTTCTATCGTTGTGCCCCTCGTGCCTTTTCAGGCACGAACGACCCTTTGAGACCTCCGCTCCGGAATCCTAGGAGCCCTCGAGACGCGGGAACAGCTGCCGGAGCAAATAAACCAAAGGATATCGTGTGGGTCAGCCCGAAACCCTCGAGAAACTCACCGCCGGACCCGCCATTATTTCTCTCGGTCCTTCCCTCTCGCTCTCTTATATCCCATTCTTTCCCATTTTCCCCCCTTTCTCCCCTGTATGTCTGCTTCGTTGCTGAATCTTCTGATTCATCGCATTCCTAGCAGGTATCCAACCATACCGCCTCGCAGACGATATCTGAATTTCGAATGAGTCTATCGAGGAAACGCTTGCATTATTTTCGCCCAGCAATATCGCGTTTTCACGATATCGTTATTTTTCATACATTGATGAAAATATCTGATAATAATCTCTCCTCGAATCTATCAATGCAACGTACACAGGATGGTACTCTTCGAAATGCACAGAGTATTCCAATAACTTTTTCGTGTATTTCGCTACTTTTAATATGACATGTATAAAAATGCTTTGAAACAGCGTTACGTGATTTGACGTGTAACACATTATAATGCATATGTATTTTTGTAATATAATGTTTTCATCGAATTTTTATAAGATTTTTTTTAAATAAAACTATATGCAGTATTTTTTATTTATATTTATGAATATATTTATATTTATAAATTATAAATTAATAAGAGAAATCCAATGATGTAACGTAGAATGTTTTAAATATTATTTGCATTGTTGAATTATGGTTTTTATTTCTTGGATATATTGCAAATAAATAGATACATATTTATTGAAAGAAATACTTGAGAGAAAGCATCTTTTAGAAAATATTTTTCCATGATCATCGTCCGAGATTTTGTATACATAGCGAACAATAAATCATATTTGACAATCGAAGAAAGATAAAAGATTTATTAGTGTAAAAATAAGATGGAAATCTAAGATGAGTTTTTTCGTGTTTATCGAGATTTAATTTCCGAGAAATTTATTTTCGAAAATTCGTCAAGAGCACGCATATATTTGGTTTCTACAAATTATTATTTCTACTTGCAACATACACACACACAAATGCATACAAATTGGCTAAAATAAATAAACGACATTTCGATGTATTTTTTTTTATCATCGTATTGTTTCCGTTCCCCGATAAAAAGCGTGATTAAAAACAAATAACTGGAACAGAGGCTAGTATAATTGTAAAAATTGATAGAAGTCAAATCATTTTTAAGAACAATATTCACATACAAACACGAGCGCGCATAGAAATAATAATTTGAAAAAAAAAGCGATGAAATCTTTAGTCATTCGGCGTATTTGATCGATGTGTTTTTGAAAACAGAAGACTTTCACGAAAATATTTTGTCATACGTTCTCGATTTGTCTTCGGTATAAAAAGAATCGCCTCCTTTTCCACCTACATGTGTGTCATTTTTTCCTACTAATGTTCTCCTACGTCACGAAAAATTAAAAATTAAAATCAAGTTCGGTCATTTATTCCACTTTGCACATTAATAGAGGCTGCTAATATATATGTTATCAAATTATATATTTTAATAAGGCAATACATATCTCAGCGATTAAAATATTTTCATTAGACTTGTATAGGGCTCGGATAACTTTGCGTGTAGCAACTTACCTCATATTCATAGAGTGCATCATGAAAATTGTAAAAACGATTTTTTTCCCTTTTACAGGCGGCGTGAAGAGCATGAGCCGGGAGAGCGGTGCCGGAGCCGGCGGCGGTGTCGGCGTCGGCGGTGGCAATAATACGACGTACACGCGGTCAGTGGTGCCGCGAGAGCTGGCGCAGGATTTTGCGAGACCGGCGCGTCTCGACGTACTCCTGGATATGCCGCCTGCCTCGCGAGACACCCAGGTCCATCACAGCTGGAACGCCGATGACCGTAGCCTAAATATATTCGTCAAGGTACGAAGTAACGCTGTATATATAACTCGTTTATGTATTTGATATTTTCAAACGTAAGGGCTTAAGAGTCCCTTAAGGTAAAGTGTGCTTCTGAAGGCAACTTTTGCCCCCAATCGAATACTTCTAATTCGCTCGATTTCCGTTATTCTTTCCAGGAGGACGATAAGTTGACGTTTCATCGACACCCAGTCGCGCAGAGTACAGATTGCATACGAGGGAAGGTGGGGTACACCAAGGGCATGCACGTATGGGAGCTTTATTGGAGCACGAGGCAACGGGGTACGCACGCGGTGGTTGGAGTCGCCACGGCGGATGCGCCGCTTCATAGCGTTGGATATCAGAGTTTAGTGGGCAACAATGAACTTAGTTGGGGTTGGGATTTGGGTAGAAACAAACTCTATCACGATTCGAGGAACAACAACGGTGTAACGTATCCGGCCCTTCTTAAGCCCGACGAAACATTCATCGTTCCTGACAAATTTCTGGGTAAGCGATTTCTGCATAATTGCACGAGAATTTCTGGATTATCAGAGATAAGCACAAAGTGTGTCTTATAGACTGGAGAAAGATTTTTGCTATAAGATTTACTATAAAATATACTATACTTTATTAATGTAATTATAGTATAGTATAATACACACACAAGCTTAACTTATATGATTTTTTTACAGTGGTCCTCGACATGGATGAAGGTACGTTAGCATTCGTAGTGGACGGTCAGTATCTCGGAATAGCCTTTAGAGGACTCAAAGGAAGGAAATTGCACCCTATCGTGTCTGCCGTTTGGGGACATTGCGAGATCACAATGAAATACATCGGCGGACTTGATCGTAAGCAGACACAATGATTCTAAAAACATTTTGCACCCTATCGTGTCTGCCGTTTGGGGACATTGCGAGATCACAATGAAATACATCGGCGGACTTGATCGTAAGCAGACAATGATTCTAAAAACATTTCACATTTTACATAAACATATTTACAATTTTGAAAGCTATAAATACCTTCTTGGCCCGTTTCTTTAATATTTACCTAATGGACGCTCGTTAATATAATAATGCATGTTAAATTTTAATTTAAAAAAAACAGCGTGAAAAAAGTTTCTCTTTTTAATTGGACATTTATTTTTTCCACAGCCGAGCCTTTGCCTCTCATGGATCTTTGTCGAAGAGTGATTCGGCAGCGAATTGGCAAACACAGGCTAGAGGAAAAAATCAACGAGCTAAATTTACCGCAGACGATGAAGACTTATCTTCTCTACCGGGACAGAAGGTAACCACCGAGTGAATCTCCTCAAGATACCACCACGATTATGACTGCGAACATCACCGTGTTGCAACCTTGCCACTACGACGCGACCGTCCGCTATCCCCTCGCATGCCACCAAGGACAGCAAACTCTTAGCCGCGCGTTTCCGTTATTAATTAAGCGCACGACGATCAACAAATTGGCATGGGTCATGCGACAACGCGCCGAGACACGCCTAGTACCTCGTGAAGGCACGCTGAGACAGCGACGTCGCAATACCATATTGATAACAACTCGTGGCGCCCTTATCAGGACAAGTCACGAGGACCGCAATCCTCATCATCGTTATTGTCATCGTCGATGAATTCACCTCGATATAGTTGGCAGACAGAAGGAAAGAAAGCATGTTTAAAAGGAGACATATTTCTGAATTTAGGTGATACTGTTGTCTTTTATGTCGTGTACAATTCTATATCGCGATAGAATTAAATATATTTATTGATTATTAGAATTATTCCGAGGAGCGCGGCGGTTTCGATGGCTCTCGCAGTGACAGACGCGACACGCGTGCGCATATTGTACGATCTTTTTCTTCAGTATCCACCTTGCTGACGATACACGTATAAACGAACGGGGAATCGCGATGGCGATTCAGTGCGACAATTTATGCGAATTCGGAGACGCGCGGTTAGAGAAGGAAGACGAAAGGTTATGCGAAAATACGAAGAGACTACAAGCACTTCGCAAGTTGGCCAGTAACAAAAATTAGACTTAATCAAGCCTGGAGGCTGATAGGGACGTGTCGTTTGCTTACAACGGGGATTGATCGATAGTGGACAGCTGGTTTGCTTTTATCCGGCCGCAGCAGAAGAATGGTGGAGCAACAAAGAAGATGGAGAGAAAGAGGTACACTGGAACGGAAGCAGATATGAAAATTTTTTCTACGATGAGGAACGATACTCAGCGAAAAATGTGACTTTGATCGCACGATTAACGTGGAACGATTAATTCAATTTGGACAAGTGTGTATAGTGATGGATATATTGGGCAGCCACCTTCCAATAGACTCATTTTTCAAGTATTTTCTAAGCATGCTAGGTCTAATAAAGTATAGTGGTGTGTGCGTGTATCGTGGATGGATATAAAAGGAAAAGGACGACGGGGGAAGGAAATACGGAGGAAGAAGGAGAACAAAAGTATAACCCTGCCATAATCTTTTCTTTAGCAGTGTTCGAAATGTAGACATTACAATTGCGAATTCTGCGAGGGAGGAATCCGAGTGAAAAGGAACGCGAAGGGAATATAGAGGGTAAGCATCTGAAACTCGCGCTGTGGTGAATTGATTAATAAAAGACGTCTCTAAATAAACTAAATAACAAAAAGCATGTTACTAAAAATTAATTATCTACACATCTAATTGATTTTAATGCGCTGTAATGACTTGCGGAAAATAGTATGTATTTAACTAATATTTAAGAGAGAAGCGAGAGAGAGAGTGAACACGGGCATTGGCACAAATTATTCCAAACGCGAATTGAAAAACTGTCACACGAAGAGAGGGCCGCTATGTAGTTAAATATAATCCGATAAGCGAAAAAAAAATGTTATACGCGCGAGTATAACGCGACATGATATATCGGATTATACTTGTCACGGATTATATTCGTCATAACGATCATAATAGTTACAATGACGATGACGACGATGATGCTGATTATATCGGGTGTGTAACTATTATACTATTAGCATGACAAATCTTACGACTGGTCCCTAGTATCTCTTTAACTCTTACGTTTGTCGCTTAGATTAAAGACAACGCCACCCGTCATCGGCTACGTCGATTTGTATATAGATATATATTGATAATATTGTACGACGACGTACGTGTGTATTGTGGACGACGATTGTATCCGTAACTGCGGAGCAGGCAGACCGAATGCGAGAGTGATATATATTATTGTTCGCCATTTCGCGCCATCTCATTCGGTATAAGAGATTTTCCTTTCCTAAGCCTAATTTAGCGGTTCGCGAAATCATCGTCCTGATTTTCAATATCACGCGTCACTGGCGTTTGCACCTCTGGCTTGAGCTCGTGCGAGACTCGGATCGCGTCTTCCAAATTATCGTCGGTTATCCTTCGAACCGATCTAAGCCTCGTTAGACGTAAAAGTCACGTCTACGTGTCGATTATCTTTCCCCCTTGATCAAATCCCCGCTCTATCCAACATCAATCGTCGCGGTCTGCGAGGCGGGACCAATCGATCCCACAACATTTAAGCGCGCATGATCTCGCACTCGGGAGCTTCGATCGCACTAGCTCTGCGGTTCTCAATACGCGCACTACATCCGGAAGTGTGGTCTGTCAGCGGCGTGTAGTTTGCCCTCGCTACCTCCCGCTTTGTCTCGGAGATACGCGGAGGGTCTTGTCTCGATACGCGAATCTGCGACGCGAACGGATCGAATGACAACGGATGCGTGCGAAGACGAAAAGACTCGATTTATTCGAGGGGCTCGTCGTCTCTCCACCGGCAGTCGGAGAGGTAATTTTAGCCGGAATAAGATGGAGAGAGACGCCGCGAGGGCGGGTGGAGACGAAAGAAGTTCTCTCCGAGAGCTTCACCTCGTGTACGAGAGAGAACTCGATTCTAAATAAAGTACGTGCGAGGGAAGTATACCCGAGGACACACAAGTATTCGCGATTCGATGTACATTCATTCATACGTGTCGTTCGCATAAAGTATCGTTGTATACACGCGCGAAAAAGAAAATTGAGAAATATAATGCACGCGCACTCTGGGAAAGGTTTTTTTTCCGCAAGAGTATACTTACTGCTACCTATTTGAAACCGACACTGTTTTATATGAATTATTGCCTATAGGGACGCATGTCACGAGCCAAGCATGAAAGAGAGGACAAAATAGGGAGGGGGGATGAGAATATTGTACAAAATTATTATTAATGATCAATATTAATATTATTATACTGTAACAATCCCAATAGTTTAATTAATTACTCGTCGTTATCGTGTTAGTCGAATATTTACGGATTTTATGATATAATTTGTGTTTTTGGTTTTTCTACGGTAGGGAGGAAGATGGAGGTTTGTGTGCGATCGATCGCTAACGCAATTCATACGCGACTGGGGAAGAAAGAGAAAATCTTCTTCCATTATCTTTTGGCTTGTTTCTCGAAACGCATCACGAGAATGAGTTATGATTTTTATTGATTTCACTGAAATGATGATTTGTGTTGTTAGCACAAACAATGAAACAAATTGAAACATTGTATTTTGCCGCCACTTATCTACGCATATTTATGATACATCCACTTAGATTTAAAAAGACTAATTTGTAATTTTATTTTTAATAACATTTTGATCGTTTTCAATTAAGATTTAATTTCTGACATGAATACAATTATAATATATGTGCATAATATATTCCAAATTATATGCATAATATATTATATTTTTATTTTAAAATCAATTAGACATATTATATATATTTTAAAATATGACTAGTGGATTATTTTAAAATAAAAAATATTGTTTTAGATTGTGCTACTTGAGCACATTGTTTATTTAATAATTGTTATCCATCAATTGACGATCTTCGGAAGTTTATATCTATAATTGGAATGTGTTATTTTCTTTACAGATATAGAAATCAGTTTTTTTTTTTTTCGGGAAAAGAAGTTATTTTTTGATTTATTGTTTCATTTGTTTTCAAAATAATTGTTTATGATTTGATATGATTAAAAATATAATTCTGTTATATATATCTCACATCTCGAGAAAATATGGCAAAGTAAAACGGAGCGAGTTAAATTACTTTTTAAAAAAAATGTATTATTTATATAGAAGAATTAAATGATTAAAACAACCGATAAAATATAATACATTTTAATTTTGCGGATTTAAATTATTTTTTTCTATATAAAAAAGAAAAAATTTTGTACATATATATATATATGTACGAAATTTTATATTTTTACACGAGTAAACTTCTCATCCGAAGCTGAAAAAGAGCTAAAAGAATAGCGGTATTGAACTATTCTGATTTACATCGATCGATCGCATACAATGATAATAACAGACAAAGTTATAATAACGACGCCGCGAGAGCATCCGATTCGTTCGCATGCGCCGCGGAAAGTGTTCCAACAAAATTCGCGTGGCTGTCGCGAGAATTAATTTTGTCGCGAACTGCCTGCCCACCCTGCCCTTGCAAACTACGTTGCCTCGACAAATGTGTCTAATGTGTCTAATTTATTGATGATGCGATGTATAATGCGACGATAATTAGCAAGTTATTAGTTTAATCTGGCAGACACAAATTAGTTTAATTGAGTGCGCTAGTAATCTAAAAGAAGGATATGTAAGAAAGAGAGAGAGAGAGAGAGAGTGTACGTGTGAAAATGTGTGAGTGCGCGTCCGTATGCGTGACATATGTATGTATATTGCGTGCATGCGTGAGTGTGCTTTCTGGATACTTGTTATCCACGATTATATCCACAATTTTTCCTTCCGCTCTTTCGTTCGCAAATTGTTATTGCTTTAATTTCGAATTTTATCGTATATATATATTAGATAGTCCAGAAATCAATTTCGATTCTCATGATAATAGTTCGACATTTGCTGTAGAATACATTATTGTTTTATAATATGTAACAACATTTAATATTAGCTGCGGGAATAAACATGAACAGAAAAGATTTTCGTAGGAATTATTTTTCTTATATATAACTATATATAATATACTTAAACGCACAAATGCCGAAACTGCATCTTAAGCTTAATTAAATATTCGATCAGGGATTAATTATTCAATGCACGATCTAATTTTCGTTTAAAAAGTCTTGCAAAATACACATACATAAATAGAAGTCTCTTAAAAGATCTTAAGAAATAATTACGAATCGTTTTACACCATAAACGATCATTTCGTAACAGAAGAAAATTCTTTCGGAACAGAAGAAAGATGACACTTCGACGTTTTAAACATTTCGCAATATATGCGTTATAGAATCTGAAAAATTCTAAAATTGAAATGTACCAAACGTTTACGAAATTCTTTCAATTTTTTCGGAGATATGTTTTTTTGAACATTGACTTTTTAAGTGATTTTTATCAAGTTGCCGAGAAGAATCTGTAAATAATAGAAAGTCCTTTCTTGTTATTTTTTAAATAAAATATTAATAGATACTTTTTTCTAAGAGATCAAAATTTTATAAAAATACGGGAATGATTTATAATTACTTTGTAAATAGAGAGTGTATATTTTGTAAATAGCTTACATTATATAAATTTGTGTTTTTTTTATAAATAAGAAAACTTTGATTTTTTGAACAAAAATTAAAACAATACAAAATTTCTTTTTTTTTTAGGACCCACGTACATTTTCTTTTAATATCAAAAATAAAAATAAATATTTGATTTGAAATAAGTTTATGGAAAACAAATAGAGAAAAGGGATCGAAATAAAAATATATTTTATCATATATATACATATATATTTAGATAGAAAATGCAGTTTAATATATAATATAATTTTATGTATGAAAAATGCTATATATATATGATAAAATATAATTTGCAATTTCAGAGCCTTACGTTTCTCTCTATTTATTTCCTATCAAAATATTTGAATAAAGCACGCATCTTATATCAAGAATTTGGTGGATTATGTCATAGAGAATAAATTATTTACGCGATAATTTCACGCATAGTCACTGAAGTGTGCTGAAGCATCAGCGAAAAGCTTAGTAATAATATATACATGCTTCTTCTTGAACCAAATAATCTCATTACGTATTTTCGAGTGGATCGATAGTAACGGAGATGATACCGATTAATTTAATCACGTATATTATCATTATTGCTCTCGATAACATGGAAAATGAATGTGGAAGAAATTGTTTGATTCAGAAAAACACATATATTATTATCAGCAAAAATTTTTAATCAGGATCATAAAGTTTTCGAAAATTCGGCGTTCTTTCAAATATGAAACTATGTGATTTTTAAACATTACATAAAAACACTCATATTCTTCTAGTTATCCAACGTAAAAAATATTAAAAATATGTCAAAAAATTTATGAAATATTTCGTATTTTATCTTTCAATATATTCAATATATGTGTGACATAAAGTATGAAATATCTCATATATAATATTTAAGATTCACTTCTTATCTCATGATCTTATTTTAATTTTTTTTATCGATAGTTGCATGTCGTTATTAAATCAATACTATAATCTATACAAGTTATTATTATTTAATACTTTAATTATTAATACTTTTATATATTAGTATTTAATAATTTAATGAATGATTATTTAGTAATTTAAAAATGCAAAATTGCATAATGTAAATACTTTGATAATGATAATGATCATAATAGTGATGATAATTATAATTAACATTTTGCTAAATAATGTGACAATATATCATTATTGGGCTTTATTTGTTTAAAATGTATATATTATCTGATTACACTTAACTTCTTATATAAGAGCTTTTAGTTTGCACTAATGCGAGTGACCGAATTCGTTATTAGATTCTTGTTTGTCCGGAAAATTTTTCCTTGATTATCGGGAAGTTTTTGATTCGTGACTTTATCAAAGGAATACATGCGTAGTTACATAATGCTTCTGAAATTGTCAATAAATAATTTACTTGTCTGATTTTAGTTATTGATTATATAATGATTTTTCCGGATTCTTTATATCTTTGATTATTTCGAGAATCCACTGAGAACATTGCGTTCACACACACACACACACAGTGTCTTTCGAGAAGTATCGTTTTCTCAAGGTCACGTGTTTATCGATACAATTGATTTTCATGCTCGAGGGCTGAGACAAAGGGATTTACGGTGGTTCCGTCAAAATGGAGTGCCGAGCCGCGTCTACTGTGATTGTCATATATAGGGGTCCTTGATAACACTATTTACAGGATCTTCCATATATAGCATCGGAGTCGCTCGTGCACTTATTAAGCTCGTGCCTCTTTATCTTAAGCGTCTTCGACCTACATTCCACATGCTTTACTACCATCTTAAGCGTAGATAAGACCCACTCTACGCTCTAAAAGATATAGATTCTTTCCGTTTTCTTATCTCCAATTCCAAAACATCAGTGATTAATTTTTAATGGAGTGGGTAACATTGTATGAATATGACAATTGTGATTATAGTTAAATATTTGTGATTATACAGATATTTTGGATAAAACAAGATTACACCAAAAAGAAAGATAATTTAATATTTAGATATAAAAATTTCCAAAATTATTCGTTCACGATAATCAGGCAAATTTTGACCTTATCATTTCTTATTATCGGATCTAGAATCTTCCATTCAATAGGCAGCCACTTTGGCACTGAGCCACCTCCACTTCTTGCCTATTTATATTTTTTTTATTACTACATTATTATTATTATTTCTTAAACATTGTCAAATCTATTCTAGTGACTCTCAAGTTTATAAAACATACGACACCTTGTAACAGGACATTGTCAGGACTGTCACAGATCATCGCGTCTCATATTTTCCCGTTATTATTATTTTATTACTATTTCTATTTCTTTATTTAAATTTTAAACACTATTTAAAAAATTTTCTTTATTGTTTGTATATTTTTTAATGCTATGTTTTTTGAGATTCTTGCAATTTGCTTTTGTCAATAAATTAGGGGACATTTAACTTTGGCGATGATATGAAAATATTTCTTGAAGATATTTTAAATACTAAGATCTCTCTTGATAAAACCCGAAAAATTATTAAGATTATTTCTATTCGTGTTATTAATAAAAATATGTCAATATTAAATCAAAATGTCAAAATTAGCTAAATGAAATATAGTCATTTCTTTTATTTATATTTTATGTTATGAGAATATGAGAAAATAATCTTTTGTTTGGCAAAATAGCGAAAGGTAAACAAGCGCGGATAATAATTGAGATCGGGGAAACATTATATGTACATATTATATGGGGTTTATTATGCCATATATTTCTTTCTCTCTAATTACTTATATAAAATCTTAATTAACGGGACGCGATATTTCAACAAGAATTATCAGAGTTTAAGCTAGTTTAAATTTAGTTTTAAATTGTGTATGCGTAATAAAATAATAAAATAAGCAATAGAAGTTAATTTTTATGTCTTTTTTTATATAAAATCTTGATTCTTCACGAAGGTATTGAAGGAAAAAGGGCTTTTTATTATTTACGATTTTATAGGTATAGATTTTCGACGAAGTTTAATCTCTTTTAAAAAGTCAATGTTTAAAAGAGAGCATTTCCGAAAATAATATATATTTTGTGAACGAGGAGAAGCCGGATAAATAGGTTTGGTACAAATTATCTGAAAACCAATGTACATATTTTTATTTTGATTAATAAAGTTTATTTTTACGCAGAGAAAAGTTAATTATTCAGCGCTAGAAATCGAAATTTATTTCTGGGCAAACATAATCGCGTTAGAGAATCAACTCTTGGCTGAACGTGACATAATAATGGTTCAATGGTTCTCTCTTTAATTTGTATATTAATTATCTCAACCGTACTTGATACAAAATGTATCAATTAACATCGCGGATCAAATATTGGTTCATTTACCTCATGACTCGATTTAATTTTATTTTAAAATAATTAGTTCTCATATGAAGAAGCGAAATTCAACGCGTCATTTCGTGAGCAATTTAAGTTTAGATTTCGGTTTAATAAAGATTTTTTAAAATTTATTTTCCTAATTTTTCTTTTTACGGCGAAAGAACGGAAAATGATGGAATTCTTTATCGATTATCCAAGATCACTTTGGATCAACCGCGTAAATGTATCTTATTATACGTTCTGTTGTTCTTGTGTTTCTAAGGCAGTGGGCCTATTCTCTGCAGATAAAAATGAAATGTAAAAATTTAAAAAATGAGAATAAAAGTTTAAAAAAAAAAAAAGGAACAGGAAATTGAGATAGAATACGTAAAATATGTAAAACGGAAATGTAAAGCCTGTTATAGACAGTAATCCAATTTTATACTAAAGGACTTATAAAATTAAAACCGATACGGAAAATTCTCGGCGACTACGAAATAAAACCGAAGCTAATAAAACTGGAAGCCAACTTTCGAGTCGAACGCAAAACAGCGTGCGAATAATTGAAAAAAAAATCTTTCGGTATTTTTCTCGTAAGTGTAATGTGTGTATACGAGAGAGAGAGATGTCGCGGGGCTCTCTTCAGCCTCTGATTAACATGTGTGAGAGCAATAAAAATCGAAGTCAAGGAACCCACGTGATCTGAAGAAACCTCGAGATTTTTTTACAAGGTAGGACCTGCGACCACAATGCATTCAGGTATTGTTCTCCCAGTTATAATCTATAACTGTTGTATCGCGCGTTTTTTTGCTATTTCTCATGATTGTCCCATTGTAAATTTCACTTTAATTTTTCCATTGTGCCATTGAAATGGGTACTTGAAGAGAATCGAAATCAGCATCATGGAAAATTTTTATAACTGTCAAATGATCACGCGAGTTGGCTTGTGAATTGGCTCTTTTATCATTATTTATATATTTTATATCGTAGAGTGTCTTTGAAAAAGAATGTTTTTCTTTATTGCAGAAGCATTCGTTACGAGCCTTTTATAACGCATGCGTTAAACAAGAATACAAAATTTTGCAGATTTTTAATTCGTCACTTTTCTAACGCGATTATTAAAACATATATATTTAAAATTATTAAAATATTAAAATTTTATTTTGATACGCCCTTTTTTTTATCTCATTATTCTTCAAGCAATTATAACGCATGCGTTAAATAAAATCAATAGTAAATAGATCTGCTCTGGGCTGCATTCCAAGATTCCACTCACGATCGGCCAACATTGTATAAAACCAGAGTAAGCTGATTCGAACAGATTCGAAATGGGAAATAGTGGAAAAGCGTAATGAGGGACTACGTCTCGTGTACCCTTGAAATCGCAATAGCGAAAATTGCGTTTTACAAGGACTCTAGTTAGACGCGATCCATGTAAATTAAGAATAAGGGGGTTTAGAGAAATAATATTCCTCATCGATCCATCTTAAAAGCGGGGATCGTCAGAGTCGCCTCTGATTGCACTCTATTTTTTTTTTTTTTTTGACAAACATGCTCCCACCCACACACGATATATTACTACGCGTTCTAAAACGACCGCGGGTCTTCTACTTTAGAGTAGGGTTTTGGAATACAACCCTCTCTGGACTATTATAACGAGCGATCTCACGTCTATTTAAATGTAAGTTTTTACGCGTTCAGCGTATTATGACACATTAGCGTATCATATAACTGACACATAAACTGAGATACAAAACTTATAAGTATATAATGCCTTAATGTTAATGATAATATCGGAAGCGTTATTGTATAATTAGCTGAGACAGGAAGGGGCGAGATACTTGTGGGGGAAGGAAACCAGGCCAACACACAAAATGCCGAAGACGCGATCGATGTCTCCATTTTGTTCGCGATATTTGATATTTTCTTATAATTCCAATAAAATGAGAGAGAGAGAGAGAGAGAGAGAGAGAAAAACAATCATGAACTTTTATTAAAAATAAAGAGTGTGTAAGTGAAGTGTGTCCCATAGCGAATTGCTATCTAAAATAGTTCAAGCTAGATGTCGATGTTTGTAGCAGATAAAGAACAATGCAACGCAGCATATTGTAATTAAAAAAATTAAAAACTCATTAATATCACCGGTTTTTTTATTCACCCAGGATTATATATAATACAACTGTTATATATAATATATTACAAGGAACACACACATTGCTAAAAACATGTATTATCAATTAGTTAACATAATATTACATTTTTGTCTACAGGAGAGGGGTACAAATATTAATTTTTGAATATTATTAATTTTTCCATCTCTCGAGATATAAAACAACAGATATATAATTTAATTTACAGACATTGCATTTATACGAAAGACGGAAGTAATATAAATAAATGCTATTTTATATAGCTTTTCTGACAATTAACGAATTGAATTAAATTTATCACGATCTTTAATGCCTGTTAAAACGTTGTCTGTAACCTTATGCATTTTTCTTGTCACTGGAATGTCGCAATCTCTATAAAGTACATCGCAATCGTCTCCCCGAATTCCCGCTGCACCTGCATCCCTCACAAGACGATCCCAACCTGAAGGTGACTTGAATGATTTTTCTATATCTCTTCTAAATGAAAAATCATGACGTGAATTTTTAATGAGAATTGAGTATGCACGCAGATATCATTACGTATATTTTTATTAATGATCTTTATCGGATGCAATTTTATATGATTAAAATTTTTTTTATTAATATATTATTTTTTCTGTAGGTGTATGAAACTTTTTCAACAGCAATCTCACATATAACAGCGAAACTTACGTCAAGTGCTTCGCCAACATTTTGCCCGGCGCGCCCAAATCCCTAAAGAGCTTGCGATTCTCAAGACAGATCGTCCTTTGTATGCATCGTACTCTAGCATCGTTATTAAGAATCTCCTCCTCCTCCGGGGTCTGAAAGTTCGCGGAAAGTCTTAATCTACCGTTGACGCACGAAAATTTTTGCCGCGCAGTACGGAATTCGTGATTTATCCTAGCAATTTTTGCCCAGCCAGCAGGAACGAAATGTTTCATCACGGTGAGTAAACTTCGAAGTCTCCAGCAAATTTACCCGGCTATATTCGAATTAGATTCAATCTCGTTTTCTCGACAAACCTCTGGGAAACTTGATGTTTATAATTTGCCGAGTTTTTATTTTTAAATTTAAACAACTCTTTTAAAAATTTAAATTTCAAAATTTAAATTCTTCTCTACAAATATTTAATAAAAATCTCATATATATATATATATATATATAAAATTATTTTAAAAATATATTCTCGCAGAAATAGATGAATTTAACTCATTAATTTTTTATACGAGAATTTTTCTTTTTTTTTCTTAATTTACAGTATATATTAATTAAAAAATTCTTATTGAATTTTTAATCAAATCTTATTGGCTTTAAATTAATAACATTAAAAATGCCGTACCACTGAATGAAAATCACGTGTAGCATAGACATCCCGTTTTTGCCTGGATGATAACAGGTCCATTATCGCATCTTTTCGCTTAGTAGAGCTAAGGGTATTTTGTATAATCGCCAAAAGCAATAGGAGACCGATGAAACTGACTACTACAAGCTGTTTCGATGAAGGAACAACGGAATGGTCTATCGAGTGTGCCACTGGATATCCAATATTAGGATATTCGTATCCATACGGCATATTTTCGCTTCTATGATGCAGAAACGTTGGTTGGGACACTGAAACATTTTTTTACAGATGAAGCGCCGAGAATACGAAGAATACACACTTATATAATTTAACTTTAATATTACATATATATTAAATTAATAAATAATTTAATAAAAAAACACAAGAAAGAAAATAATTTTTTCTCGTCATTCAAATGACGGAATTAATGTGGCAGATGTCAAAATTAAAAAATGACCGGATTTTTGCAAGAAATTATATATACATTCTAAATTTTGACATCAGATTCGTCTTCAGTGACTTAAAACATCTTCAAAATTTTTAAATTAAATTAACATAAAAATTTAAATTAAATCAACTAAAAAATAAACATAATTGAAATTTATTAAGTAGATCCTCAGTAAACTAATTCATAATTTCTTCACAAAAGAAAATCCCATATTTAACTATAAATATTCTATTAATTATAATCGATAAAACAAATTCCTTTTCAAGATTAAAAATTTTAACACATATATCATATAATTTTTTTAACACGTCACCTACCATAGCTATAACATGCCATAGCTATAAAATATATGAAAATAGCTTTTTTTAGAACTTCAATTCCAATAATTTCTCAAAATTGCGACATAATGGAGGAGTAATTTGGTAATCACAAAGAATCATATTTATTAGCGTAAGAAAACTACAGGAACTGATTACTCTCTTTCTTGCGTTCGAAAAAAAAAAATTATTTCTTATCAAACCGTGTAATTCTATCAAATATTTTCCAACTGCTTTCATGATATCACTTCCTAAATAGAGCCACAATTTTCTTCAATCAATTAGTTTCACGCAATTGTACGGCTTCTTCTCTAAAGAATAAGCTCCAATTTTTCAAGAAACTACAAATATTGTGCTCAAAACGCACGTTATTTTCCCTCGCGTCTATAAGCAGTACGAACAACACACTCCAATTCCAAAATGATGTGTCTCGGCTTTGTGGCGCTAACGCGACGACCGAAGCGCGACACGTTGAGCTTGATTATAGCCTCGCACAAAGGATAAGTGATCAAACGCGACACCGTCTTAGCGTAACTAAAATAGAAAAATCTTTACTGGGGAAAAAGTAATCCGAGGGCAGCATCGGCTGCGGCTGCGGCTGCGGTGGCACGACGAGGGTCGTAGGGACTGCCACCCGCGTCATATCCGGTTGATAGGTTGCCGGCTCGATTTTGCCTCCCATCTCTAAAGACGTGCCATTTCCGTTAGGCGGGAACACCATGGTTGTAGCATCCTGGGCGGCGATTAAAACCCCGAGCGTGCCGAGTAATACCGGAAGTATCGTCATCCTTCCGCGGGGACACTCTCAACTCGCGTTGCTCGGATTGTCAATCGGTCTTTTTTTTTTTTTATCCGGGAGTTCCTCCCGGAGTGTGGCAATCGCGTCGTCGGGACACTCGTGTATGCGCGAACGAGGACATAAATGACAGACGAGATGTCGCGGATCTAAAATAGCGGTAAAGCCGCTCGGTCGCGAGCGAATTCCTCTTTTTTTCTTTTCTCGTGACCGCGTCGAATTCGACACAGTCGAGACAACGGAAAAAATGGCGAGACGGATGATTTCGGGAGAAACGACCGGGGCGATCATTCGGCCCGTTGAACTGTCTGATGAGTTTACGGAGCCGCAATCGTCGCAATGAGCTGATACACTTGGTTCCATTGTGCCGGGAGGATGCACTTTTCAGAAATTACCTTTTTTTTTCTTTCTCGACGAGGGAATAGCTCACAATCGTGTGGATATTTTTAAAGCCCTCAGCCATTCGCCGGATGACTTTTCGGAAAGATTATTCGATTTATAAGATATTAAAATTATTGGATGTTTATTTTTTCCAAAAAGATATGATCGAAAAAAAAAATTTGCAATATTATTTCAATTTAATATGATTATTAATAATAATTATTGACTATCTCTGGCAGAGAAGGGTACAAATAATTACTAAAATTTTTTATTTTACTCAATATATGCTTCTGAAAAATACTGGCTAATATTATCGAATAAAGAAAATTATTTTCCCAGATCGTTTGACAGCTCAACGTTTATGTCTCATTAAATCCATGTAGCTTCGCGTCCTGAATTCATTTGCCTCGGAAAAATAATGTGACCGTAAGATTATTGAATCCTTTCGCGATGCTTTCACTGAGAGCGCAAGACGATCTTTATTCTCTACAATTTCTATTTGAGTAATTTCGAGAAACTTTAATACTCTAATGGACAAAATTTTGTGACGATTATGAGAAATCCAGAAATGACGAGGAAAAAGCATTTTGACCTCGTTGTCAAATGGATGATGGAACTTTCGCGTCAATTTACTACTGAATTCTTGAAGCTACAATCTAAGTTAAAATGCTATAAAATGTTATAAGAAAGAGAAAGAGAATGTGTGTGTGGAACTATGTTGCATACAGATATTCCAGTAACGAGAGAAGCGACACGGAGGGTAGATCGGTCGGTTCGGCTAGCTGCTAGAATGCAAGGGGTTGCTATGGCGATGGGACAGCAGAAGGTGGGGTAAAGGGAACTCTGGGAGGGTTTGTCTGTCTGCAGCCCTTCTAAAGGGGATGACGTCCTTCGTTCCGTCTATAGTTTCTGCTCGTGTCATCACTCGTCAGATGTAACGCAACTTTAAATATCTAGAAAGCAATATCCTTCTTATGATATGTTTTATCTTATTTTGTCTATTCTATTCAATAAATATTATATATGTATATATAAATTGACGTAACAATAAATTTTACATTATTCTTAATCCATATAACTATATTATATTTATATATGTAACACTCGTAATTAGTATAAGATGTTAGAATTATTGAATAAAATTAATTTTTTTTCTTTTAAATCTGTAATCAAGAAATAGATTTGCAATATTATTTCAGTTTAATATGCTTATTGATAGCAACTGACAAAATAAAATTTGACAAAAACTTTGGCAATTGACAGCGATGATAATTTAATTTCAAAGACAAGAATGTTTCTTTAGATGAATAGCTAAAACAGACGGATTTTTCAATATTTCCTACAGTTCGTTTATTTTCTAGTTCTAGATACAAAAGAAAATAATTCACGCTCCAGGTATCTCACACCACTCACTTATACTTGTCTGTCGTCGCGACACATGGCACTTTGTTCATTATTCACACCTACAAAGATTTTCATCTTGCTAACGTAAGAAGAGCTTAGTTTTTTTTTTTTTACCGTTAGTAGGCAAAAAATAATTATGGTGATGGATATTATAAATGCAACATCTTAAAAGACGTTGAAGAAAAGCAATAATCTTAAAAGATCAAAAATACGTTTGTAGGATAAATAATAAATATTAAAAAGCAAAAAGAAGAAATACTTTACAGGAATAGAATTAAAGAATATGAATTTCTTGAAATATGACTCTAATTATATAATTTCCTATTAATATTATAAGATTGCATATTATTTATCTCTCTATTTTTTTTATTCTGTGTTATAGGGTATTTTCGAAGTCATTTTACGAAAATATCTTATTAACGTGAATTCATTTTGCAACAGTTATTAAAATACAAACGCAAGTTTATCATGCATTTTTGAATAATTTATGTGATTTTTTGTGTTATATTTTTTTAATGTTTGATTTTTTTTCTGTTTTCGATAAAATGAGATGTTTCAAAAATTTGTTTTTTATTTACTTGTAACGTTTATGGGATATTTCTTACTTGAAATTATCTCCTGTGAATCGCATGTTTTTGGCATTTATAAATTGAAACACCCTATATGAGTGCGTGTATGTATAATATTTATGTCTGTATCTGCTACACGGCCAGTTCTTGAGATTAGCGGGAAGAATATATGTATTCTCGCACCGTCTATCATTTCATTGCGGATAACAAAAGGCGTCCTTTTGTTTCAGAGTCGACGAACATCGTGGCTACGTATCGGGGTCACATCGATGGACACGCCGCGTGAACGAGCCGCGATTTTACGCCAACGCGACGCGAGTGAACATTATATTTTTAGCTCGCTTTTGCACCGCCGACTGATACCTGCTATTTTTTTTTATCAGCGTCCAATAGCGAGCGTTCTCTCTCTCTCTCTCTCTCTCTCTCTCTTCCTCTGCTCAGAGCGGCAATCAGAGAGATTCGGTCACGCTCCATTATCCGCTCCGGAGCGACGCCCGACGCTGATTTTACACGTTTACAGCCTCTCTTCAGGGCTGCGGACACCTGGATAGAGGGATAACGAGAACGCCGCCGCATGGTCGGTTAATTATAGAAAAATTGTGAACAAATAAGGTAAATACAAGTAGGACATGTGGGACATTATCGATTGCTTCATTTATCTTCTCTTTTGGATATTTCGATATTTCTCGTAAATATCATCAATATGATAAGAAAGCTTACGATTTATATGAGTCACACATGTCAAACGATGTTCAGACTCGCAGGTCTTTGTTTATTTATTTCGAGGACACGCACGCTTGTTATAGAAACAAAATTCTCTTTTTTTCTCGTGTTGTTAGTGCGACATCTTGGTACTTAGATCATTTAAAGGAATATAATTTAATATATTATATATATTTATTGTTAAAAAAATATATATATATTTTTGGGGAAAAATATAAAATAATCTGACTTGATTTGTTTAATCGACTGTATCGCGTCTGATCGTATATAGGCTCTACTACTGCGTGTAATAGGCAACTTTCGTTCAAAACTTTTCCGTCAGAAAATGCTTTCTCAAGATATTTAAATTAGAATTAATTCGAATAAAAATTTTTTTCCTTCAATTTTTAGATATTTAACCGATACAAAAGGGATAAAGGGGCTTTCAAACTCAAAACCGTTTAATCGGACACTTGCCGCTTTGCATACATGTCAGAATTTATACAGTTTAACATCGCATTTAATATCCGGAATTTTTTTCTTGGCTCTTGAATGAGGAATAGTTCGGCGTTAATGGGACGCGTACAACCTTTTTTTTTTTACCGTTAGTAGGCAAAAAATAATTATGGTGATGGATATTATAAATGCAACATCTTAAAAGACGTTGAAGAAAAGCAATAATCTTAAAAGATCAAAAATACGTTTGTAGGATAAATAATAAATATTAAAAAGCAAAAAGAAGAAATACTTTACAGGAATAGAATTAAAGAATATGAATTTCTTGAAATATGACTCTAATTATATAATTTCCTATTAATATTATAAGATTGCATATTATTTATCTCTCTATTTTTTTTATTCTGTGTTATAGGGTATTTTCGAAGTCATTTTACGAAAATATCTTATTAACGTGAATTCATTTTGCAACAGTTATTAAAATACAAACGCAAGTTTATCATGCATTTTTGAATAATTTATGTGATTTTTTGTGTTATATTTTTTTAATGTTTGATTTTTTTTCTGTTTTCGATAAAATGAGATGTTTCAAAAATTTGTTTTTTATTTACTTGTAACGTTTATGGGATATTTCTTACTTGAAATTATCTCCTGTGAATCGCATGTTTTTGGCATTTATAAATTGAAACACCCTATATGAGTGCGTGTATGTATAATATTTATGTCTGTATCTGCTACACGGCCAGTTCCTGAGATTAGCGGGAAAAATATATGTATTCTCGCACCGTCTATCATTTCATTGCGGATAACAAAAGGCGTCCTTTTTTTTCAGAGTCGACAAACATCGTGGCTACGTATCGGGGTCACATTGATAGACACGCCGCGTGAACGAGCCGCGATTTTACGCCAACGCGACGCGAGTGAACATTATATTTTTAGCTCGCTTTTGCACCGCCGACTGATACCTGCTATTTTTTTTTATCAGCGTCCAATAGCGAGCGTTCTCTCTCTCTCTCTCTCTCTCTTCCTCTGCTCAGAGCGGCAATCAGAGAGATTCGGTCACGCTCCATTATCCGCTCCGGAGCGACGCCCGACGCTGATTTTACACGTTTACAGCCTCTCTTCAGGGCTGCGGACACCTGGATAGAGGGATAACGAGAACGCCGCCGCATGGTCGGTTAATTATAGAAAAATTGTGAACAAATAAGGTAAATACAAGTAGGACATGTGGGACATTATCGATTGCTTCATTTATCTTCTCTTTTGGATATTTCGATATTTCTCGTAAATATCATCAATATGATAAGAAAGCTTACGATTTATATGAGTCACACATGTCAAACGATGTTCAGACTCGCAGGTCTTTGTTTATTTATTTCGAGGACACGCACGCTTGTTATAGAAACAAAATTCTCTTTTTTTCTCGTGTTGTTAGTGCGACATCTTGGCACTTAGATCATTTAAAGGAATATAATTTAATATATTATATATATTTATTGTTAAAAAAATATATATATATTTTTGGGGAAAAATATAAAATAATCTGACTTGATTTGTTTAATCGACTGTATCGCGTCTGATCGTATATAGGCTCTACTACTGCGTGTAATAGGCAACTTTCGTTCAAAACTTTTCCGTCAGAAAATGCTTTCTCAAGATATTTAAATTAGAATTAATTCGAATAAAAATTTTTTTCCTTCAATTTTTAGATATTTAACCGATACAAAAGGGATAAAGGGGCTTTCAAACTCAAAACCGTTTAATCGGACACTTGCCGCTTTGCATACATGTCAGAATTTATACAGTTTAACATCGCATTTAATATCCGGAATTTTTTTCTTGGCTCTTGAATGAGGAATAGTTCGGCGTTAATGGGACGCGTACAACCTGAGATCGTCTGGCCACAGTTCAGGAATGGAATATCGTCGAGGATCCACTCGGGTCAGGTGACTTGGGAAATCCCTTAAAGCCGAGAGATCTCGGCACGATTCCTTCTTCTCCCGCAGGAATCTATTTCCCTAACTTCGAGAAAAAATCTCATGTAATTTTTCATCCCTCCCTGCCTCCCACTGTGTTTCAAGTTAATGCAGTTTTATATGCACTACCTTACGCGTGTAATTTTGTTTTCCTTTTAATGGAATTTGATATATACGAGTAGCATAGCCGAGTCATGTGCTCGCACAATGCTTGCGATTAAATTAATGAAACGATATGTAAATTTACAAACCAAAAATACAGACACGAAAATTTTTAGTTCCATTTTTTTTTAATTAACGCTGCAAGATAGTGAAAGAAACCAGCTTTATTGGATGTTAAACATCCATGTTTAATCGATATAAATATATGTGTGCGTGAAAAATCTCTTAGATATATTTAAATGTTTTTCAGAGAATATGTCATATTGGGCGAATCGAAGAAACTAACAAGAATTCTATTTTTCAACGGGAGCGAGAATAATATTGTTTCATCATTAGGTGCATTTTAAATCCAAGAACAAATCGATATGTGCAGCTACAATAGTATATCCAAAGATTTATCTTTTAATAAATAAATATTCGTCTTCCAAGTCCCTCTTCCTCTTTAGTGGTCAGGAATGGACCTTCATAATGAATCCTCACTATTGATCGCTACTAAATTGAGAGAAAGACATACATACATTCTACAGGGAAGCCTCAACCTATTTCATTCCTGCATAACTGTCATTCTGATTATCATATATAGAGGCTTATGAATAAAAAGTAATAATAGCTTCATAATTGAAAATAAAATTTGTTATTTTATGTTTTGACTTACGCGAGTATCGTTACTAATATTGTTTTTATTTTGCTATCCATAATTATATTAATTATGATGTTGCAATAAAATTTTGATTATAAGTTTAGGATATTTTTTTTTTTTTACTTGGAAATGTTATTTTTAATCGATCATAATTAGGTCAATATTAAAAAATGCAATCGAGTTCATTTGAAACAACGAATTTCGAAATACTTGAATTAATCAAAATTTCAAAAGTCAATTTTTTACTCATAAATCTCTTTTTTTGACAGCTTGCACATATCTTGCCTGAAAATGATAAATTGCGCTTTAAAAATATATGCAATAGATTACTAAATTAAAATTGTATTTACAGAGATTTTATATATATGTGTGTATATGTTCTCTCTTGTAGAGACTTTTAGAGAATTTTTATTATTTACTTTATTTTATTGATTGATTGATTTTATATAAATTTTTATAAATAAAAATTGCTAAGAGAGGTATTTCATTTAAGCAAATAAAAAATATATTATAAATGTATATACCTAAAAAATTTCAAGAGAGATCCGGAAAATAAAAAATTCGTATATCTGTATTGAATCTTCGCGATCGCAACAATTGAAGGAATTTATTTCCGATTCATCCCCACGCGAAAGCAGCGGGAATCGCGACCTTCCCCAATGGTCTCTCGCACATTCACGAGCGCGACGCACAATGCGACATTATTACGCGCTTCCACGCCATACGGTAAAGTCGCCTGGCGTACCCGGCTTGCGCTTTCACGAGTGGTGTCCTGTCAGACCTCTGTGCCACACGTGCGCATTTCCACCTGCCCGCATCGCCACCCCTATTCATCGCCCTTCGAGGCTGCAACTACGCTGACCTTGTTCCAGCTTCCAAGAAAAGCAGGTTACATGAAATTTTCACCCCCACCCGGAGCACGACCTGATTATAGGATAATACTTTAAAATACGCATTATATCGCTTTATTCATTTTATCGAGCGGCTTCGCATAATAAAATTTATATAACTCTTCCTTAAGTATAGAATATATATTTAAAATGAAAGATCTTGGCAAGACATATTCAAAGCCGTATACGTAATAGAAGAAAATTCTGCAGCTTGTAAAGTTATTGTCTGCCTTAAAATGTGTGTATATGAGAGAGATAAGAGTAATCAAACTTGCACATGTATACAATATGCATCTCGACGACGCACATACAAACTCTCTCGCGTATATAAATTCTGATATACGTTATAAATAGTTTTATCGAGGACAGGGATTTTTTATATGTTGGCATTTATATATATTTTATGCAAAAATAGCTAACATGACCTCAAAGTCGTTTTATATCAAAAATTCACTGTTTTTAATTTTTCAATTATCTCACTGATTTGATTGTGGCATAAATTCAAAGAAACTCATAATGTCATGTGCTCGGAAAATAAAAGTAGTGAGTCGTAATTATCAATATTGCTCGCTACAGGAAATTTACTGCATTTTATTGAATTTCATGCGACTGATGTTGTTGTATTATTTTCTATTTTTTTTATATTCGTGACATTATTTTTTTCGTTTATGTACAATAATACAATTTTTTTATATGTATAATATAGATATACGTAATTATCGCGATAATGCATTTATATATTAATGCTTCCATTTAAAAACTACATATACTTTTTACAAATCGCTTATTTATGCTACATTCTTCTGTAAAAAAGAGAGAGAAAGATTAGAATTGATTTAAATACCTGAAGGGGTAAAAAAAGAGCAATATACGAATCGACAAGTAAATGACCACGTCATAATGCATTTAAATTTCATCAGCATTTATAAAAATGCTGATATCTTAATTCTTAAATTGACTATATAGTCAATAGTTTGTACCTGAGATTTTTATTTTTACAATCAATAACGTACATTTCAATTTCTCGTTCATTGTTTTTCTTGGAAAATAAATATTTGAACTACATCTAACTATAAAACAATTTTTGTAAGCATTTTTATGTTTGTCCGTGTATTTCAGAAGTAAACAGAATGTTTTCGGATAACTGCGAAGAAACTCCCGTGCTATTTCAGTGCCAAAAAAATGGAAAGAAAACATGTGTTAGATGGAAAGAAATTTTACGCCAGGTGATTTACGAGAGTGATATTCGATATACAGGGTGGACTTGATGTTCTGGTCAGATTTTGAGATTTTATAGGAAATTTAATTCTGAACAAGAAGTTTCCTATGAACATGGGTCGAAAAATGCTTCCTTAAAAAATTAGCGCCCAAAAACCTCTGAAATCACGGTTATTTTATACATTTTTACAAATATCAGGGAAAGTATGCGTTTTTTAATAAAAAGTACCGACACAAAAGTTGTAGAGAATTAAATTATCTTTCAAATGATATCAAAATGATTGTAGTACGTTCCAAGAAATTTATTACGTTTTATTTTCTTCTCACTTTCTGCTCTACCTTTCATCCTCTTATGATAATTGGTTTAAACAATGCAGAAAAGTAAATTTTTTTTAGTGGAATAATCAACAAACAAGATAAACATTAAAAATTATCTAAGGCCATAACAGCATAAATGAAGAGTATTTTTAAAAAGCTCTATCGTCGATAGCCGAAAAAACACTTTTTTGTACATTTGAAACTGGTTATCTCAAAACCTATGGAACGTACTACAATCATTTTAAACTCATTTGAAAGATAATTTAATTCTCTACAACTTCTGTTTCGGTACTTTTTGTTAAAAACCGCATACTTTCTCGGGTATTTGTAAAAATATAGAAAATAACCGTGATTTTAGAGGTTTTTGGGCGCTACTTTTTAAGGAAGCATTTTTTGACCCATGTTTATGGGAAACTTTTTGTTCAGAATTAAATTTCCTATAAAATCTCAAAATCTGGCCGGAACGTTTGAATCCACCCTGTATATAATACGCGCGCGCGAGTACAAACTATAGAGACATTCAAGAATTTAAAAGATCCACGTAATTTCAATTAGCACATATGTTTGCTGTCTGATGATTTTTTTTGCTATTTGCTTAGCAATTAATCTTTTGTCAAATAAAGATTTATTAGAAAGACGTTTGTTAAGAGCAAACAAACAAAACAATAATGAAAATTTTAATGCATCTCTTCTAAGCGTTTATACTATAAGACGAATAAAGTAGTTATACAAACTTGGGTATTTATATTTTCAATAAGGACTACCTATCGATATATCAAAGTTCTATAATAGGAATCGCGCAAACAAAAGCGTATGCTAATGCGAGAAATATCGAGCGCTTCGAGAAAGCTATGCGACGAATGTTCGATGCGATTAAAAAGGACATAATGACACGTGGAACGTGGAACTGAAGCAGCTATTCAGCAGAGAATATTTAAAGAAAAAGAAGACTATAAACGGCTTTATGGCCATAGTAAATATATTAACGATAGAAATTATAAAATTCAATTTTATCTACGTATATAATCTTAATGTCAAATTTTAAAAGTGTTTTTCAAGAAATTATTTTCAAAATTTGATTTATAAAAATTCATTTCTATAATCATTCTATGTATTTATTGTAAAGTAACTTGTTATTAATTAGTAAAATTACATATTGATTGTCTAATCAGACTTCTCATACAAATGCATTTCTTTAACTAAATAGAAACAGGATGAAATCTTTAGATTTCTAAAAAAATATATAAATAGTGTTGCAGAGATTTACACATGAAATATTTTTTATGAAGTCTTTGTTACGTAGGAGATTAGGTAAGTAATGAAATTCAAAATCGAGATTTTGAAATTTGGTCGGAAATTCTCTTACAGAAAGAAATGTTCCACGTGCAATCTCATCCTCTCGCGCACTCGTTTGTCGCCTCCAAATACTCCAGGCTGTTTTACTATTTATCCTCGCGACTTTACGAAAAGGATATTCATTTCGTTTCGTACACGAACTTGAGCGAGTTTCAATATTTACTTGCCGGCCGCGTTTATTTACGTCGGGACGCCGCGCGCGTCCCACTTTCATTCATTTTCCCGCATCCTGTCCCAGCAGAAAATCTCGACCTACGTTCACGACTCGTCGGTGAGCCCCTCCTGGAAAGTATCTCCAGCGGAGGCGACTCTAGCGGTCGGCTCAGTCTCGACCTGTCCTCCCGTGGGTTACCCGGGGAGGGTTACAACGAACGGAGAGAGAAGTTTGGGCGTATACACAGTGGTACCCGCGATGTACACGCAAACTACCCTTCCTTCTCACCCTTCTCGACCAGGCCCGTCCACCACCCTCTCTCGTTCTCCGCGTCCCTTCGTCCTTCTCGTTCCCTTTCCGTCTCCGATGCCCTTTCCGTCTCACCTCGGCGATGCGCTCCCACTCGATCGCCTTTAGCGCACCCTTCCACGCTCCTTCTCGCACCCATCCCGTCGCTCTCTCTTCCTCCCTCGCGGATTTTACTCGTCCACTTCCACCCCCGACCATCGACGTTCCGCGTTTATCGAACCATTGCGCGCGCACGGATAACAGTAACGGGGCGTGCTACGTCTTGGTTGGCCGTAGACGTAGGTGGTGGACGCACGGCCGACCGACGACGACGAGAACGACGGCGGCGACGTCGACGTCGTCGAGGACGAGCCCAGCAGATTGTCAGCGAAACTCGCCGCGCGACGAAGAAGAAGAAGAAAAGTTCCGTCTTCACGCAGTGTGATCAGTCGTTCTCGAGAAAGCGCGCGTGTTGTGTCACAACATTCGCAGAGTCCGCCGTGTAGAGCTGTATTCACACACATCATTGAGGGGATCCTACGAGTGCAGCTTCGAAGGTGACCTCGAAGACCGCAGCGAAACGCGAAATCGAGAGCGTACAAAAAAAAAAAAATCGGGGAGGTTGATGTTAAAAGCGAGCAGGAGCTGGTGATATCGATACAATTTTGGAAACGGTGTCGAGTCTCTCCAAAGGGATCTGTACCTCTGAACCTCCGCGCTGGTCCAATTACGTGGCCAAAAGAGTGCGGAAAGAG